GGATTTATAGAAAAATATCAATCAATATTGCATATCCATAATTATTATAATGGATAAAATTAAAGAATCCTTACACTATAACGTAAATTTGAAGTGTAACCATAAGTGTAACACAAAAAAACGGATGTTTACGCCTATTTTGAATTTAAATACAAATACGAATACAAATACTTCCCCCCCTTCAACAAATACAAATACTGGCTGCTTTGCACACTCCTAGTACATCCAAACACTGATCAACGGCCATGCTTCGACTGCGCAGCTCCGTCTCGTCTGTCACTGAACATGCGCATATGCAAATATTTTGGGTCATACATATTAATGATCCCGACTTTTACGTCAGAGTCGGTATTATGTGGAGATTCGCCCGTTTTTCAGGGGCGTTTTTCAAAAACGAGATTTAAGTAAGAAGGAGAAAACAATGGTCCCAGCAGGCACCAGGGGCTCGTTCTTCGTACGTGGCTAACTCGGTTAGCTGGATTTGATTGTTGGCGATTTGCCATGATCTTGGATCGTTTGGTTCTTCGACGCTCATCCTGGACTTGCTGTCATAGCAACAGGTCCGTCAGCTTGAACCTGCTCGCGAGCTGGCTTATTTCATGTAAACAGGATTAGATCGCGGCTGATACGGGAAGTCCTTTAGCACAGTGTGATAGTGTAGCCTAATTTCTGAGATTTATTTATTTTTTCTCGTGAAACAATCGTCGTGAGGGTGTCGTTTATACTTTATTATGTTGGAAATGCACATTAATGTTCGATTCGATGTCGGGCTTCAACAACAATGTGTTCATTCAACAAAATGTTTGCATCGCCCTAAAATTCTTTGCGAGTGGCTTCCTTTACACTATTGGAGATGCGGAGAAGCTTTCTTTCATGCCATTCGCAAAGTTTACCTAGCGCTTTTAGTTTTTTTTTTTTTTTGCCAACTTAGGGTATATTATAATTTTTAATGACGATAATGCAATCATGATGACCATGCCGATTATGACTTACAGTCCCTTAGGCTTAACTTACGTGATTGGTGCCATATACTGTAGACTACACACATGTTCCCATCAAGGCCTCAATGAAGGGATTTTGTGAGCAGAAAGGGGGCTTATACAGTGCAGCCAAATTACTATTACAATTTTTAATATTCCAGATTTTGAATATTATATCACTTTTTTTAAAAGGCATTTGACTGAGTAAAATCTTTTAGATGGTGTGTGACCATGTTCCATATCACAAATCAGTGTGAAAGCAAAATGGCCAGGATCTGTGCATGACTCAAGAACTTTAAGAGATTCACATTTATGAACATTATTTGAACTTGGTAAGGAAAATTATAAATATCAAACTCCCGGTATTACATACACGTATGCTGAGAACTGCATTTTTCCATTAAACAGGTTATTACAACAGGATCCTGCATGGAGACAGGTGTTTTATGACCCCATTCCCTGACCCAAACCCCAGACCAGTTACAATGCAGCTCTAGGACAAGGGCACACAATGACATGAGCTTTGGCCAACTAAAGGGATTTCAGGGTCTGAAAAGCCTGAGGGTTGCACCTGACAGGGCCTGTGACATTGCATGTGCCATATTACACAACACTGCCAACATCACAAAAAGAAAAGAAAAAAAGTTTAATTAAGCCTAAAATAAATGACAAGACAAATTTGCAAAACTCTATTTGCTTAGAGTTTTATTTCAATAGTTCTTTGTAAAGAAAAGCCAGTTATTCAGTCATCTTTTTAAAAGATATTATGCAAGGTCAGCAATAGTACTCTGTGTGATTTTACTCTGAAGTTTATTTTGAAGGAACTCTATTTCTAGTGCAATTTTTTCTTTGTCAAGTTCTATTTCTCCCCCTGATTTTTGTTTTTTCAAAATACTCTATTTTCTGTTGAAGACTCATATAGGGGACGAATTTAACCCAGTGTCGTTTGTGTCACACATGCCTCATGCCTCAAATAACAAGCAAAAGTTGTCTCTTCACTGCCCACCCCTGTATCACTGCTGTGTGCAGACTCTTCTGTAGGCCTTTCTGTACATGTGGACTCCTGTCAGAAATAATAGGCATAGGCACAAGTAGAAATCAATTAAAGCCATCAATTCAATTAAAGTACTTCCTCCAAAGGACAGTCATCTGAGAAGTTTTCTTCACTCTCCAGTGCAATGTGTTTGATAACTCAAGGCAAAATATTTTTTACATTAACATAAGTTTATCAGTTTTTACTTTCACAAGACAAAGCAATTTATCATTACTCAAGATTTAACAGTTGAAATGACTAAACCAGCCAATTTGGATTATAGGTCTACTTCATTTAATGCAGCAACAAATTATTTCACAGTGTACAAAGATAATTTAAATCTCATTTCCCAGTGATGAAGGTGTTGCTGCTACTGGTCCCTGATGTGGGTCTGGAAGAGCTGAACCCAGGGATGCCCTTCACAACAGGGCAATTCACATTCAACCCAAGGGTCAGCTCTTCTGCCAGGGTCAGGAGCATCATTATTATTATTTTCTCAGCCTTTTTCCTGTTTGCTTTTATGAACAGACAATCATTTATTTAACAGTGCCTTTTTAAAAGAGACTAGTAGGCCTATAAGGCCTAAAATTACCATTAAGTAGAATATTTTTGTACTTCACTTTCACCATGTCCATTATTATAGTGTGGTGACTCGACATTACAATGAACAAAGTAATTATGAAATTATGAAAATAAAAATAAAATAATAATAAGTTATTAAAACACATTACAATGAACAAAGTAATTATGAAATTATGAAAATAAAAATAAAATAATAATAAGTTATTAAAACATCTAACATGGCCACCACAAACGCATTTAATTTGTCTTCTACTTTTGCCAGCACTCTCTCCTGGCTTTTGCAGACTTTGAGGTGTTCCCTTACACTGAAATTCAGCATAACCTTCGATTAAAAGCGCTTACTCTGCTTGGGAGAAAAACTGGGCGTGTCCTTTGGCCATGCTGAACAGCCAATAGCAGCGCTGCTGATCACTGGTTCTGCTATCGATACATGTCACCTTTTAAACCAACGCGAGAACGCGCAGTTATCTCAGATAACTCAATCCAGCGATACTAATCATAAACAACAGGTGTGTTCGAAGAACCCAATTAGCCGGATCATTATTATTATCATTATTATACGATGATATTATCTTGGATGTCTCATTTGATCTCGGATGTTTTAAGCAAGGTACGAAGAACGAGCCCCTGGACGTCAATTTGACATCAACAAATAGTCAAGATTTTGACCACATGTGAAATGTATATCAAAACAATGTCTGAAAAAGTATATTTATTACTCACTGTAAATCAATGCGACTAATTTTCAACATCTAAAAGACCTTGAAAGTTGTAGGCCTTTGTAGGTCTATGTATTTTGGATTTTTATTTTATTTAAATGCTAGCTAGTTTAATTCAGTTCTTGATTAAAATGACAGCAGACACTATAATTGCATATACTATAAAAGGTAAATTTAATCTGACATTGAAGCGGATTTTTAAAATGATCATCATCAACTACAAATTGACTACAAAAAGACGTCACATCTTGGTCATATCGCGCGGAAAAGTAGAAGATTTGCACAACCGCCCTCACTCACACGTCTGCTCACTGCCAGAGAGATCGTCGATTTCAATTTTAAAAGATACTCCTCTTTCAACTCTTGGTAAGTAACCAGCTAGCATGCTATTGTTGTTATGTTAATACACCATCTTATACATAGGCTACTTAATCTGTTTGGTATGGGTGTAATTTTCAGAATTATGTCGAATAATTCCACAGCCTTGCCCTTTACCTGAGCGAGTTAGCTTGCTAATTTAACCGGAGATTAACTTAACTGTAACGTTGACATTCTGGAATGATGGAAGAAGTGTCTTCCTGTCTGCCATCGTATGATTTTAAAAGTGTGTGCGTGTGTGTGTGTGTGTGTGTGTGTGTGCGCGCGCGCTCGCGGAAAAATGTCCAAAAAAAAACCGGCGACGATATTTACTGTCGATTCGAATTTGTTGGTTTAAAAGTGGACATTTCAAGCTTTAGCCCGGTACAAGGCTAACGTTAGAGTTGACAAATTAACAATGATTGTAAAATGATATCCTAAGCATGTGAAATATTTTCATTTTTTTCCCCAGCGTAACTTACTAGCCCCAGATCTGTCACAGATTTCAATAAGAGGTAAGTTGCAATGGTAGTATCCATAAAACGTTACTGACCTATGACATTTTAAATATTCCTTTCCCAATGGAAGAGAAAAGTAAGTGTGTTCTTCTAAACAAAAAATAGCTGCTGTATTGAAATTTTTTTAATGCAAATTTTTTGTTTGTACAGAATATGATGTCACAAGAGTACCAACTCCTGTTGAAAAGTTATAATACACAGTACACACACACGAGAGGTACACCCTCTCACTGTATACTCTTACAAAATGACAAATAACCAGCCTGAAAAACACGTTATATGAAGAACCAATAACGTCCAAGCTTATCGATACTGTGGTCTTCCTTGATTTGGCCCCAGGGCCCGTTTAATACTGGGTTTCAATACCCATCCCTACGTATGGGTGAGTTCATATAGATGAAGGCCTGTTGTGTTCACTCTCTTGAAAGTGGGAAACTCACCTTCATCTATTTAGTGTGGATGGCATCAAGATCTTGTCCTGGGGCCTGTTTCAATAAGGAGGTTCAACCAACTCTTGAGTTAAAGCTTGAACTCTGATTTGACTTACCCTGGGATGGGAAACTCTGAGTTCCCTTTCGAGGGAACGCTACACTGCGTCGAGAATCGACACTTTGGGGACGCTCCCTAAGCGTGCGCCTCTGAAGTATGAATGAAACTAATCCAATCCTGATTGGTGTTGCGTCGTGACGTAACATGTGACGGCATACCCGGAAGTATAAAAGTGACACTGTCACAACACACACTAGCTTTCGCTCTTCAGCAAGTGCTCCGTGTTGAAAAACTGTCTTATTTGGTGTTGTTTGTCACTCAGTTTGAACTAGAAATGGCCAGCGAACAATTTAAAAGATGTGTGTGTCCCTGCCCTCGTTATATCACTGGTGGGGACACACATGCTTTATGTGTAAATTGTTTGGGAGCGCAGCATGCACGAGCAGCTCTCGAGGGAGCTGCTTGTGCAGACTGTAAAGCACTTCCTATTAGAGTGCTGCGCTCCCAGCTGGCGTGCTTTGATGAGCACAGTCAGGCTCGCGTTCCCCACGGTTCTGGTCCCACGTCCGTTGAGGTTGCGCGGCGACTGAGATCGTGGGGTTCGCAGCGGGATCTTGCAGACGAGAATGAGACTGCTGAGGCACTTTCCCATTCATCGTCTGATGATCCCGTAGCCCCTGAGAGTGGTGCAGAAGTCCGCGCCGCGGCTTCTTCTGACCACGATCAGGTTCCGATACTTGAGCTCTCTGCTTCCGAGGAAGTAGACGTGCTCAGTATCGATGCGGATGACCGTGAGTTAGGCGCGCCAGTTCACGGCCAAGCATATGGGGAACTGGTGAGGGTGTGACTCGTGCCGTGGCCAGACTTAACATTAGCTGGCGAGACTTAACAAGATGAGCAGGGAACGCAAGTTCAAAGTAAATTAGATGAGCGTTTCACGGGTCACAGTCTCAGCGCCGGGGTTTGCCGTTTTTCCCTGATCTCCACAAAAAGATCACGAGATCGTGGGATGAACCGCATTCGTCCTGTGTCTCCAAACCCAGTGTCCTAAATTTTTGCAATAAAGATTCTGTGACTGAGATCTTGCGTTGCCGAGGCAGTGTGTAGATAAGGTCTGCATTGCAATACCGAATCTATAGTGGCTCGGATCTCGCGTTTGCCAAGGCAGGGTGTAGATTTAAAGTCTGCATTGCAATACAGAATCTATAGTGGCAGCGTGAAGATTACGAGTCTACTTTGCAATAAAGAAAACTGCCTGTTCTCCGACGCTGTAACTTCATTCGTCGACAGGTTTATAATTAAATAAATTGTATATATATATATAAATAAGGAATTTATACATCAAATATATATATATATTTATATATATGTTGTCCCGCCGTTTTGAACGTTTCGGGCTACATGAATTTCCAGCAAACGCACACCGTGGCGTTCACCCCGAGGGCTTGCAACCGGGCACCGACTATGGTCACAAAATTTTTCTCGACCAGTCTCGAGGGGCTGGTTCCCTTAGTAGATTTTGTGGAATGGCAACGCCTTCCAATAGATCTATATGGGTCCTGAATATTTTTAACACTTTAACCATCAAGCCCCCGCCGGCGCTCTGAAGCGTTTTTTTTTTTTATTTAGTTCAAAGTTACTATCAGATTTAATGTTATACCTTGACAAACTATACATCACTAAAAAGATATAAGACTCAGGTTTCAGTATTTGACCACTATTGTATTGTGAGAAACGTATAGTGACAGTTATGTCTTAATTTGTTTCAGGAGTTATGAAATGAAGAAAATTAGTCGATACCTTTAATATGAATTATGAGCGTCAGCTGGTGCATTCAGAAAAAAAAACTCCGTCCTGTTTTCATGACAGCGATTCACAAAACAACTTCCCTCGGGGATTTAGCTCAAAAATGTGTAGACTTGGAGAAAATATTGATTGATTCTCATAGATTCACATCATATTTCTATAGACAGGAATACTATTTATTGAATTTATACTAAAATGCGTCGATATAATCATTATGAGCGCTTCTTCCTGAGATGTGCTGTATTTTCAATTCATACCAAAAGCATGAGGGCGCTGTCTGCACAGTTTATTCCATATATGGCACATGAAGAACAAAACATAACTGTCATGTGACAGTCCAGGATCAGGAACTGCTGTCATGAACTGCCTGACGAACTAATACAGAATCGCTGTAACATGCAAATAACTACAATTTGAAGACAATAAACATGATTGCAATTATATTTGAGTTACCTTTGTTCTTCGAGCCATGCCAGGTATTTTCATAATAATAGATTATATTTATAATGTAATGCTAATCGATATAGATTTTTTCATTGTGCACAATACAATAAATAATATATTTTCGGTCAGATTTTTTATCTGAAGCCAAATTAGATCACAGAAGATTATATAAAACACTCGACTTACGTTATAAAGTAAGTTTGGAGCAAAACATGGTTTTAATCTCATAAATTGCCGTGTATTGATGATGTGCTAAGCTAACATGCTAATATTAGCTCGCTAAGGTGCACCTGTCATCACTAGTCTAGAAGTTATTCTTTTATGATTTTTTCCCAAATAGGAATGCTTACTAAAATGTTTCAGTGCATTCGATTCAGTCACAAAGGTGGAGCTAGCACTTTGATAAAAGAAATTAGGGTTTGAAACCCTATGAACAGCTTGTGAATAGCAGTCGTTAGTAGCTATAATGCAGACAATAAAAATGCATATGTTGAGCCATAACCAGTCTGTAAAGGTGTGAATGTGTGCATGGGGAGACTGAGACTGAATGGGGCTCGTTTGCACCATAAAACAATAAAGACAATAGACTGAATAGATGACTTAGAAGATGACTAAACATCAGTTTGCATTTTAGAGTCTAATCAAAATAAAGTAATTTGACATGATCTTGAAAAACAGGCAACTAAATACAGAGTTTTAGACTTATCATTTTCAGATTTTAAATATAAAATGGTCACACATACGGCTTTAGCTGCAGTGCATTTCTAGATTGCTACAGGGCCAACTTCAATTTTATTTTCATGAAGATGTTTCATAAAAATAAATTTCTAATAACTTTACAAAACTTCGGAGCTATTTAAAAAAAATGTTTTTCATTATGACAATAAAAAATTCTACATTTCCAATAAACTACTAGGTGTAAGCTTTCAAATGAGATCATAATTGTGCTTTTAGTGCAAAGGGTTCATGAATTGTATCTGTTTCAGTTTGGGTATGTCATTTCTGGGGATTTTTCAAAAGTGGGATTAAAGGTTAACAGGTTAAATATGCGTACAGATTGCAAGTCGGTTAACGACCTCCCAAGTTTATTGGGGTCGTACCGACTGCAGTGGTTCCAGAACAGGCTCGGGTTATGGAACAAGAGGTACAGACTCTACTGGAATTAAGGGGACATAGAGAGTGTTCCCCTACCAGATAGGAAGTCCAGGTTTTACAGCCGGTACTTTTTAGTTCCAAAGGAGGATGGTGAACTGAGGCCAATTTTAGATCTAAGGCTATTGACATGTTCTTTGAGGAGATTCAGGTTCAAAATGCTTACTATTTCCATTATCGGAAACCAAATCAGATCCGAGGACTGGTTTGGTAGATCTAAAAGTTGAGGGTCCACTCAGTTGCGGGGCAATCGAGGCCCTCTAGGAAACGATGTGTATTGCCCGCCGTCTATGGCGCTTCGGGCCGCATTAATCTCCAACGAACGCACTCTGCGTCGTTTTTCCTCTAATAAAAAAATAAATAAATATAACGAGCATCAGTTATGGTCACAAAACCGTATCGACTACAGCCTGCCGGTCTTCCACTTCAGGCAGTCGAGAAGGGTGCTCGAAAAACATCAGAGGCCAGTCTCGAGAGGCTGGTTCTCTTAGGTCCGTTCGGCCTAGCACTCTCTCCCCGCATGTTCATGTGTAGGTATACGGATGCGACTCTGGCTCCACGGAGGCTTCAGGGCATCCGTATACTGAATTACTTCGATGACTGTATCTTAATGGCAGTTCGGCATCGAGATGTCGCCCTTGGCCAAAACTAGAATCGGGGGTTGAGACTCAACACTAAGAAAAATGTGTTGGACCCAGTTCAGAAGACTGCTCTTCTGGGCATGAAATGGAATTCGGTTACAATGCAGGCACGACTGTCTCCCGCTCGTATCGAATCCATCCTGGCCATTGTGTCCGGGATAAAGCTAGGCCAGGCCATCACTGTAAAGCAGTTTCAAAGACTGCTGGGCCTCATGATAGCGGCATCCAACATGATACATTTGAGCCTTCTACACATGGCCCCCTTCAGTGGTGGCTGAAAACCAAGGGTTTTTCCCTCAAGGGGAATCTGTTCCGTATGATCAGATTTACGCGCAGATGCCTTCGTTCTCTGGTAATTTGGAAGAAACATTGGTTCCTATCCCAAGGGCCAGTGCTGGGAGCGTCATGTCGCCGGGAAACCGTTTCGACAGTCACCTCCCTCACTGGTTGGGGCGCGGTCATGGATGGCCGTTTTGCCAGGGGTCTGTCGCAGGACCACCATCATTCTTGGCACATAAATTTTCTAGGAATGATGGCTGTGTTCAGGGCTCTGAGGAGCTTTCTTCCAGACATCCAGGGTTATCATGTCTTGATACGTTCGGACAATACATCAGTGGTAGCCTATCTGAACCAACAAGGGGACTCAGAACGCGCCCTCTGTGCAGACTGGCGCATCAGATTATTCTTGGGTCCCAAGGGGAAATACTGTCTATCAACACAATGTATATTCCAGGGGTTCAGAATCAGGGAGCAGACATCCTGTCGAGGCAGGGGCTGAGGCCCGGGGAATGGAGACTTAATCCAGGTGTGGTGAACTTAATATGGGAGAGGTTTGGACCAATGGAAGTGGATCTATTTGCGTCTCGAGAGACGTCCCACTGCCCACTTTGATTCTCCCTCTCACATCCAGCCCCACTGGGGTTGGATGCCATGGTACAGGCCTGGCCGAGGCTTCGCCTGTATGCGTTTCCCCCGATCGCTCTGCTCCCGGGAGTCCTGGAGAGGGTCCGTCAAGAGGGCATCAGTCTTCTTCTGGTTGCCCCAATGTGGCCGACCCGAGTATGGTTTTCAGACATAATTTCACTCCTGATAGCTCCGCCATGTCAGATTCCTCTGAGGAGGGATCTGTTGGCTCAGGCCGAGGGCACAATCTTCCACCCTCGTCCAGAGCTGTGGAAACTGTGGGTCTGGCCTCTGAGGGGGTTCAGTACCTGAATGCTGGCTTATCAGCTGGATTGTTTGAAACCATACTTAGCTCTAGGGCCCCATCTACCAGGAGATTATGGCCTCAAGTGGAATGTGTTCGTCACTTGGTGTAGGGAACATGGGTTAGATCCATTAAACTGCCCGGTGGCTTCAGTTATGGAATTTCTCCAAGATCGTTTCTCTGCGGGTCTCTCCCCGTCCACGCTTAGGGTGTACGTGGCTGCCATTTCGGCTTTCCACGCACCATTAGATGGTGGGCCTCTGGGGAGGCACCAGTTGGTCATTCGGTTTCTCCGTGGTACTTGGAGGATGAGGCCGGCAACCAGGTCCAGGGTTCCTGCCTGGGACCTGGCAATAGTTCTGGAAAGGTTATCCCTGGCTCCCTTTGAACCTTTAGAGTCGGCTTTGCCTAAGGACTTAACACTAAAAATGTTTTTTCTCTTAGCAATTACCTCACTTAAGAGGGTGGGAGATCTCCAAGCCCTGGCAGTAACGCCAGCTTGCTTGGAGTTTGCCCCTGGTAGAGTAAAAGCCTTTTTGCACCCGAGTCCGGACTACGTGCCTCAAGTTCCATCAGATACGGCTCGCTCTATAGTCC